CTTGAGCGAGCAAGCGTTCCAGTTGGCGATCTTGATGGTTTCACGGTCCATAACTGAGCATGAAGGTAGCCACAGCTTGGAGCTGGTCGGATTTGTTCTTGATGGTGTTGGCAATGTCGTGCATCTTGAGGAAGATGATCATTAGTTCCGCTGCGGTGAACCACGAACCATCGTTGATTTCTGGCTGCGGTAGGGACGCCAGTTGATGCAGCGGCTGACCATATGGCAATTCTTTGTTCCATGGCCGAACAGCAGGCAGTTCGAGCAGCATTGGGTGACTCCACGGCTGACCGGCTTGTACCGCTCCCACTTCAAGGTGGACCAAGGTGGACCAGGTATAGCTGGTCGCGGTACTTGACGGCCTTGTTGTGGCGGGCCATCTTGTGAATTTGGACCGGCTTCAGTCCATTAGCCACCAGCTCTTCCAAGAGGACGCCTGTGTCCATGTCGTATAGTTCGCGCAGGACCACCTTGAACGGCTTAACAGCCTCGATGTCGTGGGAGAAGTACTCCACCTGTGATTGGTCCAGTATGGTCTTTACCGCCTTGTAATATTTCAATGCCGGAACCATCAGTTTGTACACACTAATCGAGTCAGTACGGTTTTACCGAGTTTTTGAATTGCGGAACTGTTCGGTAAAAGTTTAAAAATCTGTGGAAAATTTATTAATGAGAAAATTTGTTCTGAACTTGTACAAACTTAGTTCTGGTAACCCCATTTAATAATAGAAAATAAAATTGGTCGATTACATTGATTCCTTACGGATAACGGTCATTTGAATTTTTACCGACTTTTTCAGCAATTCAAAAACCCAGTAAATAAATACTGACTCCTGTAAAAAAATCTTAGTGTGTATCCTTCCGTGCACAACTGGATGGTGCACCGGACGCCCTGCGTGATGAAGAAGTTTATTTTTCCCGCAATCCGGGAGGGAAGCCCTTCACGTAGAAGGGCGGCATTCTGTCCTTCTTCGGCAGTCCTGTTGTTTCCGTTACCGGTTCTGCACCGTCCTTCAGAAAGGAGAATCGATTGTTGTCGAGCAGCTTCTTCGCGGCTGTCGCACTGTCACTGTTGTCTTCAGGCCTAGACCGTTTCCCGGGATTACCGGCACTCGGGCCACCGCGCGATTTTTTACCCATGGCTGGGTTAGCGAGAGCGTAACTATTCAACGCGAGAAAAAACGGAACAACGCAATCGAGCGAACGAAGAGAGCGAGAGTAAAGACGTCGACTGTACTGCTCAAAGATGAGCAGAGGCATGACAGCAGCGCTGTTTTATATCTTTTCCGTTTTAAGCAGAACGATGTACAACCAAATGGTACTCGATTATGACGACTGGGTTAGGGAAAATCGTTTATTTCATGAAAACAGAGATAAAATTATCATTTGTACATTTTCAAATATTTTTTGTGGAAAATTGAAACAAAATATTTATTTCAGCAGATTCGTAAATGACAAAGTTACAAGCGTTCAAAAGCTAACACTATTTCACAACACAAATTTTTTTATTTGCACCCCAGTATAGTCGACAAAGGCGTAGTTCTACGTCAAAATAGTATGCGTGGGTAAGCTACCAGTTACGCCGACCGAGGATCAAATGCATTGTTTACAAAAGCAGATACGTCATTTAAAAAACTAATCGAAAAGTCCTTTTTCTGAAGTCTTTCACCAAATTCATTTGTGATTAAAAACTTGACAGTCGATCAGCGGCTTTGAAATTTTTAAAAAAATATTTGCCTTTTGGTATTGATGTAAATAACAATTAATCTCAAAATATTTTACTTGTGTGTTTTATTTGTGTGTGCATGTATGTGTGTATATTCCCTCTAACCCCCACTGGCCGGCAGTGTTATTATGGAAGAACTCTCTCTACAATGTCGCATTTATGGTCATTGTAGACAGCTTTAGTCCGGGAGTTAGAAGGTGATAGCTCTATTGCAGATCCAGCAACCCATTTCAGAATGTCTAGAGAGTCACGCCCATTCCGAGGGTACTTTCACTCACAATAAGCTCCGCATGTATGTATCACCGTTATCAAATGGATATTGGTTATATATACACACTTTCAGGTTCGAAAATATTATTTTCAAACCTGGCATGTAGGGGAAATGGCTCTAATGTTGGCCTATGGATCGAAGATTGATTGCACCAATCGCTAAAAATCTGCTATTTATCAATTTTATCTAGATGAACACGTCATTGGAACGGTACTAATGGATAATTTCGGTCGTTATTGAAAATTAAGTCGATTGCTGAATTTATGTATGGGCCCAAATTAGGGACCTTCAGGACGACATTACATCCATTTCCCTTATTTAGTTTAATTTTGATATTTAATTTGGACAGCTCTCACCATATTCTGCTCTTCCGCCGCGGTTAATTGCTTCTTTTGGAATCCCTTGGAGTTTTTCTCTAACGCTTCGTATTTCATTCCGTGCTTCACCGGCAATTTCCTTCCGTAGATCGTCCTTGGTTAATTCTAACATGATGTTTGTTCTCTTAGGGAGATAAATCCGCACTAATTTCTGTTCCTGGTTCGATGTTGACTCCTTCCTCGTTGGTTGGTGTGGTCGGTTTCATGTCCACTATATTCATTATAAGTCCACTATCTTGCCATGGTGATCTGGGACGGGGCTCACGTCCAAAGTCGCAGGTCCCCCGAGTGCTCGTGTGCGAAAACAGAATGAAAGAAGCTTGTGTGTTTTATTTGTATTCCAAAAGCAATACGCAACCATAATGAAATTGTTATGCTTATGTTGCCTAACGACGTGTTTCGGGTATCATTCAAACCACTTGTAGAATAGTTCAATAATTTGGGTTATCATACGTTTATTTATTTAAATATTTAAAATTAAATTTCAACCGCCATCTCAATACTCCTCACGCTTTTCCTCGTGAAGCGCTCGTGTTTATTTACATTGCTCGATTGGAACCGCGTTTGGGTTTAGACAGGGCAAGTCAATTGATCAACTCTGTTGAATTCAGCTGACTTGAACGCGAATTGAACGTGTAAACCATGCAATTCAACTGACTTGATCAACTCACTTGAATTGAAAAAAGTTGAACCAGGCTCAACTTTTCAAGCCAATTGTATTCAACCACAGAGAACAGACATCCAAGTTCGATCAGAAACTTGTGTAAAGTTAAGTGGAAACGTCGCCGTTACGTACCGCTAGCATCTCCTGATATCCTCTATAAATTTATCACTTTCGACCAATTGGGCGCTAGTAACGATAAATTATCTGTTGAAAATTGCCACTTGGCGCTACCAGGACTTAGTGTCTAGTGTAAGTTTTGCAACGCCAGCGCCATCATGTTGTCAAAGAGGGTTTTTAAGTGGGGAAGTCGCCGTTAGTGGCGCTTAAGTCAAATAGGAATCTTTACACAAGTTTTTAGAGAAATTTTGTTCGAGCCTCAAAGTCTGTTCTCTGTGATTCAACTGAGTTGATCATTTGACTTGCCTAGTCTTAGTGGAATTAAGATTAAAACCGGTTAGATTACTCGAGGGGGGTGACTCTATCTAAGATGCAGGCAATTGTTTGCTTTGGTGTTGTGATGCACTCACGCTTTAATAGATAGAAACACGATTGATTATGATTTTGAAGATTTTCTGCAAAATGGTGGAGAGCGATGCGAGTAGATGGGTTTAGGTGCAAGATATGAAAAAAAAAAGATTTTTCGTAGATTGATTCACTAGTGTGAGATTTTTCGACCATTTAAAATCGAGATTTAGATGTGTCGCACCCCTCGAGATTACTGGGGTCCACGGTACCCGTAACCAAGCTTTGCTGCGAATAATTTCTATCTTGATTTCAACCAACACATAATCTCACAGTGCTGCAACACGCTACAGCATTCATTAAACGACATATGAATTCACGGTCGATCAGACCGACTCAAAATTCAGTCGAGTCGACTCTATTTCATCTATAGTGGATTTACTCAAAAGAGAGTTGAATTTTCCGGGCTATTGCAGGAAAAATTTCTCGATAGATGTTTCCCTCAGTTTATTAGTATACTTCTAGACTGAGTAAAATTATCTAGGAGTTTTTTCTCGAAAAGCCATTTTAAGTAACTCCACTTATGGCGACATGGAGTCGACTCGACTGAAATTTGAGTTGGTCTGATCGACCGTGATGTGAAACAATTGCAACCAGCCCAGTGGCAGGCGCGTAGGCAACATGTTATACAGTGACAGCGGGCCCAGCACAGCAAAATAAATGATTTGAGCCCGGGACATGCTGCCTACTGTCAAACGCTGCTGTTGGTATAGGCCTTGTCACTGGCCTGCTTGCAACCCATTCTGTTGTTGCACGACAATCGCATTGTCTACTGCCACCATCAGATGAGAGAGGGAGAGGATCCATCCATCGCATTCGCCATGGATAACGCACCATCAAACTTGTTGATCATGTGGCTCGGGATGCATGATCGATCATCTGTTCTTTTTTTTTTGGAAAGAGTATACGAGAGCATGAGAGAATTTGCTCCGAGAGCAAATTCGTCACTTCACTCACAAACCCGGTATAATTTAAGATGATGATAACACGCGAGCGTTCGGATGCTGCATGCTGGCTCATCTCAACTATCATGCTCTCCAATTGTCATGTTGCGTGGTTGATAGCATGCTTTGAATGCACACGCACAGGAGAACAACATTTGGCGGTGGAGAGAGCGAGAGTGAGTAAGCGCGCGCGCGTTTTGAGACGTATTTTGTGGACAGTGGTGCCGCACGAATTGATTTATACTGATTTATTCGGTGGATAAATCTGAAGATACAGATTTATGAGTGTAATGTATCGAATTATGCATAGTTATGGAAAAGGTTTAACAGATGTCTTAGCTTTCACAGATGGATAAGATTTTGGAGCTCAACATGGATGGATGGATGGATGGAGATGAGGAAAATGTGGCAACACTGTTTGTAAAAAGCTGCTTACTTGCACCGCTGCTTGCTCAAGAAGAATTAGTTTCAAAGAAAACGTTGGCGACGCCGGTGGTGGCAGCTCCTGAACGTGTGTGTCTTGTGGCAGAGATCAGGAAGGAAGGAATTTTCGCAGGACTTTGATACTTGTGTGTTTTTTGTTAACGCGTACGCACTATAGTTGTTGAGTTTGTTACTTGTTTGAAGAACTTACGGAAGCAGTTTGTGATTTTTTTTTGTGAAGGTAGCCGGACTTGTGTGAAGTTATTATCGTGAGATATTTGGTAGTTGGGAAGGTCTCTGGTTTCATTCATTGAATTTGAATTCATTCACGACGATCGACGATCATTCACAGGGGTCTTGCCACAAAATCGGAGAAACGATTGGTGGGTGATATGTTCTGAAGAACTGCTTGCACCCAAGGCTTCCATCTAGGAGCGTCCATAGTTACTGTAGTAGTTGGTTGGTTGAGGTTTATGGAGTAGAACTCGCGGTTGGGGAATTGCTGCGGTTTGCAAAGTTCCAATTACAAACCTGGATCGCGTGTCGTGTCTCTGAATAAAAATCCATTAAACGGTGCTTTCCGGTGTATGTGCGCCTGAGCTGCTAGCCAGCACGATCGATTTCAGGTGGGCTGGTTGCACCTTTGGCGAGAAGAGGATCCGATCGCGAAGAAGATGATCGTGGTGCCATATGTGTTGGTGGAATAATAGGAGGGCAAGAATATGATCGAAGCCGTGTTGAATATTCATGAAAATTGATTTTTTTTTACGTATTCAACCTGTTTTTTGTTGAGCTCTTGTGCACTCTCCGTTCGATTGTGTTGGCCGTATCATGATAGTGAATTTATTCGCGGGCGCACTGGTTGAAGAAGATTAAGACTTCGGAAAAGTAGTGAGAATCAACGTGCAACCGGTGAGAACAGTGAACCGAAGTGACATTTCGCGCGCTCTCACGGAATGTGTGAAATTCACGAAAATAAAGAAAATCCCACATTTGTGATCGAGAAGAAAAATTACTTACTGTGAAGCGTCTCTGTCGGCTGCCGAAAAAGGGGTGAGAAAATCGGCAATAAAACGAAAATATTTATAAAGCGCGGCTTTTCACCGAAAACGAGTTGTGGAAAAATAGCAACTGGTGGCTTAGTTCGGTAGATGATTTAATGAGAAAGTAAATTACCACGCGCACCCAGGGGAAGTTAGTGTGATTCGTGCCGAATCAGGTTGAAGCGAAGAGAATTGCCGAATCGGTGTCCTGGTCCGGTCGTCCGATCTGTTGACGGAAGCGATAAAATTCCGAATCTTGTCTGTGTTTCGTTTTTACGAGGTAAGTTTTTTTTTTTTGATTGCTCTCCGCTTCTTTGCCTCGTTTGCCTTTGATTGATAGTGCTGCATAGCACGTTATAGAGCTACGCGGGAGAGGCTGATTGGCGAGTTGTTCTTCGATATTATAGATTAGGAGGAAGTGAGCATGTTTTGCGCTTTTTGCTTGGAGTGCGGGCATCATTTCGGTAATGGATATGATAGCGTGGTGAATTCTGCTTTATTGCTGCTGCTACTGCAGGATCGGAAATGATTTGAGGAAGTTTTCGTTTATCGTTTTATGAGCGCTGTAAATGAACTTGGTTTTATGTTCAGGATGACTGACTGTTCTCATCGATGTGTACGATGATCGATGGCTGGTGAGGTTGTAAAAATAGAAAATTCATGTTTTTGAATAAATTAAAATTAATGAGGCAGTTATGTTGGGCCACGTCACTAGAAGGACTTTCTTCGCTAGTAGAAAACTAGCACCGAGACGAATTCTGCACAAACCGAATCACTGATCACAAAAATAATTTGTCATCGACCGACCAGAGAAACAGACGACGTAGTGTTTCCTTCAACGTGTATTTTGTAACTGATCTATTTACAAATTTGCACATTCCTTAGTCCTTGCTTGTTTTATGCCTTGTTGACAAGATTCGGGTCGTATTCCACTGAGGATGATCTGGAAATAAGGAAAAATGTGTTAGTTTTCTGTATGATTCCCAATCTTATGTTCGTGGTTCTCTTGGTTTAGATTAGGGTTCGACATATTTTGAAATATTATTATAAAGTCTGAAACGTGCAAAAATTGGTCAACTTCAAATAGGTGTATTTCTGTTAAAATTCATAAAAAAACCTGAAATGCTGCTTTTGGAAGTTGAGTGTATATACAATGGTTGCTATGATGAGTTATCACCGTTTGCTCTCCAGTTTTCAAAATGAGGTCCAAGCAAGAGGAGCAGCGTGTCAAAATTTTGCTCGCGCAGCAAGAGAATCTGACGTTCTCACATGCAAGTTGGTAAAATTGCTGGATGTGGCCAAATCAACGGTGACAAACGTTTTAAAAGTGTTCGGGGAGCGTCTGTCGACCGCCAGGAAGCCTGGAAGCGGCGGCAATCGTAATCCGGACGTGGCAGCGACGACGAAGGTGGCGGTGAAATATAAGCGGAATCCCAACCTCTCCATCCGGGACGTCGCTGGCAAGCTCAATGTCTCCCATACTGCTGTTCAGCGGGCCAAAAAACGAGCCGGATTGTCGTCGTTTAAGAAGGTGAAGGTGGAACCGAGATTACCAACAAAACACGTCGGCAAAGCAGCGGTCCCGAAAGCTGTATACGAATCTGCTCACAAAGTTCGACTGTGTCGTCATGGACGACGAAACTTACGTGAAGGCGGATCTCAAGCAGCTTCCGGAACAGGAGTTTTATACCGCATCAGGAAAAGAGAAGGTGGCTGAAATTTTCAAAACCATCAAACTATCGAAGTTCACGAAAAAATATCGCCATATGCACGTGTGGTCTAAAAAGCGGCATTTTCATTACTACGGGCACCATCAATCAAGAGAACTATGTCCAGGAATGCTTAGAAAAGCGGCTGCTACCATTCCTAAAGCAAAATAATAGTCCTGTGCTGTTCTGGCCGGACATGGCGAGCTGCCACTATGGGAAAAAGGCAATCGAGTGGTACGATGCGAACGACGTGGTTGTGGTACCCAAAGACCACAACCCTCCCAACAGCCTAGAACTCCGCCCTATTGAACGGTAAAGGGCCTTGGTCAAACGGAATCTCAAAAAAACTAATTAATCCATGGAAAACGAGCAGCAGTTTGGATTTGGCAAACCAAAAGAATAAACGAAAAAAATTTCCTTCAAAAATATATGAATTGAACTACCAAAAGAAAAATAAGAAGATTTTTGTGATGTGAATTTTTACTGAAAGAAACGATTTTTTTTTCGACACGTCATTACTCTAAATCCATTCTTCATTAATTAATTAAGAGCGTCAAAATGGACTTTTCAACCACTGCGCAGTGTAGAACAGTCAATGTTTCCCTGAAAAAGATCGCCGACGAAGTTCGTCATTGCTACGTTACGTATTGCATCCAAAAGCTCTATGTTGATAAACATACAACGGTTTTCATAGCTAGGCAGAGGTTTCTAGGGTCATTCCAGCGAAAATACCTTAAAGCATACCGGATGAACTTCCGTTAAATAGCTTCAATACGCATGGTTTCATTTTGGCAGTATGGAGACCACACGACCGTAGAATACTTCAAAATAGGTCGCACCAACGAACAGTATAATCATAGAGGTACACACTTAGATTTTTCTACCGAAATCGGCTGTGCAAATCTCGGCAAAAAAAGTTTTACTGAGATATCAGCAAACATTTCATTTGTTTGCTGAGATTCAGCTAAGCATTAACCGAGATTCAGCAATCAAATGTCACTTTTGCTGAGATCTCAGTGAAACTTATTTTGCCGAGATTTGCACAGCCGAGCTCGGTAGAAAAAACTAAGTGTGTAACTCTAAGACTAGAAGGTCCCGAAGAAACGTGCTCAACTTTTTGGCTCAGCTCTGGTACTCTCTTCGGTCCCAAGCTAATCGATGCACCCCTCGAAACATATGAAAATCCTCGAACCCCTCAACTTTCATAGCGAATCAAAACAAATATAGTGTAGTATTAGTGTAGTTTTGCTTGGGACTAATAGGCTAGTCAAGTAGTGAGCAAATTTAAAATCGTTAGTTTCCACCGGTTGGTATAATGCTTCTAGGCAGTATACATCTTTGAATTTTTTGGCGAAGCGGAATATGAACCCGAGTTGTGAGGAAGCTTTGGATACTACGTATGCAACATGATCCTTGAAGCTGAGCTTGGAGTCGATCAGTATTCCCAGCTCCATGATAGTCGATTCCCGTTTCAAAGTTATGCCCGCCAGGGCGTAGTCATGGTGAAGAAGCGAACGCTTGCGGCCAAAGGAAATTACAGAGCATTTCGAGACATTCAGTGACATGCGATTAATACGACACCACTCAGCGAAGACTTCCAATTGTTTGCTACAACAAAATGGCATCACTAGGTTCTTTTATCACGAAGTAGAGTTTCAAGTCGTCCGCACACTATAGTTTAAGGCATTTCAGGATGGTATTGACGTCATTCATGTACAACAGAAACATAAATGACCCAAGGGGAACGCCGGATGTCACGGGGAAGGATGAAGAAACATAGTCTCCAATCTTGACAGACATGTTTAGCCGATGCAATGTCATGGTTCATTTTGTCAAATGCTGCGGAGAGGTCTGTGTAGATGGCATCTACTTGATGGCCACGTTCTACTTCATGAATGATGAACGAAGTGAACGTAACTAAATTAGTCGTCGTGCAACGCTTAGGCATGAAGCCATGCTGATCCATCGAGATACAGTGTGCAAAACTTTGAACCAATTTTTCGAGTATAATCAACCTCAAAAAGTTTGGAGGTAGCACTTAACGAAGCTATTCCACGGTAGTTTGAAACAGTCCTTTTGCAGCCTTTCTTGTGGATTGGGAACACGAAAGACTCTGTCCAGCAAGCTGGGAAACCCTCAGACATCAAGGAGAGGTTGAAAACGTTAGCTAGAGGTGTCGCGAGAGCAGTCAGGCAGCTTTTGAGTTTTTAGCTTCTTCCCGGATGAAATAACCATTTCGCTGGTGATAGATGTTTGTTTAAGGATCATTGAATTCAATCGTTTGATAAACCCAAGTATGTTATTTGCTTTATAGATGTAGTGATCAGCAAATGACAACTTAGAATCAAGAACAACACCTAAGTCTCTAACTTGTTAGCATCTTTGAGCTGGTTTCTGGCCTAGAGTAATTGTGTCATGAACAATTGCATGCTTTCTAGTATACGATATAGAATTGCATTTTTTTACTTTAAGTTCTAACATTTTTTTCTTACTATACTCCAGATATAAAACACGCCAATTTCATGTTGGAATGTTTGAAAGTCAGATGCTTTGCTTATTTCCACGAAATGTTTCATGTCGTCTGCATATACAGGGTGTTTGATTCCGGGTTTTACATATTTTCAGTGTAGATAGGGCTCCTAAAGTAATGAAAAAATCTCCATGAAAGCTTTCTATGCCAACCAATGCATGAATCTGTATTATGTCCAGGGAAGTTGAGAAAATTTCCAACCTGGGAATGGAACATACTGGGTTCTTAAGGTGATACGATTCAGCGTCCACAAATCATAGTAATCGAGTTTTCTAGGAAGTTAATCTCGGGCACTATTGCGATTTGAGGCACTAAATTGTCATCACAGTTTTGTTATTGTATGTTTTCCAAAAGCAGATAGTGGACTCCTGGAAAAAGCGAAGTGGAACCAGAGCCCGAGGTTCTGGATCGTATCACCTTAAAACCATTTCTATGTTCTACGTCTCGCTTTTCATTAGTCAGCCAAAGATCCCTTCAGATCGGTCGTGTTTGTCATAGTGGTCTTTGGTTTTTTGTTCATGATTCCGTTAAAATAAATCTGGGACTTTGAACAGTTATCTGAAGTCTATGACTTAGGAAATTGGTAAACTACATTACACACACAATGCTGATTTCTGTTTGTCAAACTTTGTAAACATATCAAACAGAAATGACCTGCCTAAATGCCCCTGATTTGGGCCCATACATAAATCCAGCAATCGACTAAATTTTAAATAGCGACCAAAAATATCTATTAGTATCGTCCCAATGACGCGTTCATTAAGATAAAATTGATAAATAGCAATATCAATATCTCAGCAGTGATATTTTCTTTCGGCGCAGATGATGCTAAGGTAATCGAAAGCTAAGAATATGGCCAGCTGGTATTTCCCGGCGACTTTACAAATTAATAAAATCAAACAAAATCATCATTCAGAACTAGCTAGGATTTGTTTTACTTCATATTTCACAAAATTGCTTTCGAGTGTTAAGACATCGTCTCCCGTAGTTTACATTTTTCCCTCTACCAACACATACATCAGGACTAGATAGATCTCCACA